AATTGGTTTAGGAAATCGCTCGTGTTCGCTGACGTATAGAAGAAATTGTTGAGAAAGTGAAATGTTTCGCATTCTGACAGGCTCCAAATCAAATCGGTTTTTTAAGAGAAATCCCTTGAGAACTTCAGCTTTCTAGGTTGACAAACTTGAATCAATAATATCAAGTTTTGTTATTTATAAAATGGTATCAAATTAGAATTTCTTCTTGTAAAATATTAACAAATTTACGAATATTTAGAATATCTTTATTCAATAATTAATATATTAATATTAATATAAAAAAAATACATTAATATTATAATTGAAAATTATTTTGATTGAATAATAATTATGAATTTATTTTAATATTTGTCTATGATGTGAATAACCTTTCGTTTAGGTCAATATTATTGTATTCTAGTTGTACTTTACTAGTTAAAACTTTCTAAAATATGACGAATTTATTGATTTTTTTTTAATTATTATTCTTATTAAGTAGATTTGAATTATACAAACCATAAATATTTATTAATATAGTAATAAAATAATAACAAAATTTATTTATTTTCAAAAATATTTACGTTCAGATGAAATAGTTCTAATAAAAATATTTGTTCTTCTTTTTTTGTTTAATTGGTATTAATTTGAATCTTTTGAAACATTTCTTAATTTAAAAAGTAACATTTTCTTACTGAGAAATAAACATTTTTTATTAAATTTTAACTAAACTTCCAAGTAGTCAATTTGTAATAATTATTACATTTTATGTAATTCAAATATTAAAGAATTGGTCTGTTTTATTGTAATAATGAAAAATTGGAAAAGAATGTAATAAATTGTATTAAAAATTTGGATATTATAAAAATTGAAAAATTTAATTTATAGAGATATTAACTATAAAGAAACATGTTTTATGTACTTAAATTCATAAGAAATTTTGCTTTAATTGAAACATTTTTAAAGTTGTATCAAAATTCATAATTTTTTTTTTACTAAAATTCAAAAAAGATGAAAAATTATTTTTGTATAAAAAAAATTAAACATAATGGTATTATTTTAATGGAATTGAATTCTTAAGTAATTACATAAGAAACGTTGCATTAATACAAGTATTAAAGGTGTATCAATCTATAATAGAAATTTAATTGATTTTTTTTACTGGAAATCAAAGAAGTTGAAAAATTTTTTTTTTAGAAATTATAAACATAATGATATTATTTTAATGGAATTTAGTCCATGAATTGAAATATTAAAGAAAAATACATAGAAAATTTAAAAAAATATATGAAAATTTTTAAGAAATTTTGTAATAATTGAAAATTTCTATTAAAATTCCAAGTTTAAATTTTAAAAGTAATGATATTATTAAAAAAAAATGGTATTCATATGTGATTTTATAAGAAACGTTGCATTAATTGAAGTATTAAAGTTGATTCAAATTCATAGGAAATTTCTACAAAAATTTTGAAATTTTGAAAAATTATTTATTTTATAGAAAATTTAAACATAATGATATTATTTTATTGGAATTCAATTCATAAGTAATTACGTAAGAAACGCTGCATTAATAGAAGTTTTAAAGGTGTATCAATCTATAATACAAATGTAATTGATTTTTTTACTCAAATTCAAAGAAATTTAAAAAACAATTTTTTATAGAAATTTTAAATACAATGATATTATTTTATTGAAATTTAGTCCATTAGAAATGTTGCATAAATTGAAATATTGAAATATTTCTACTAAAATTCCAAATTTTAAAAGTTATGTTATTATTTAAAAAAAATGGTGATTTCATAAGAAACGTTGCATTAATTGAAGTATTAAAGTTGCTTCAAATTCAAAGGAAATTTTTACAAAAATATTGAAATTTTGAAAAATTATATATTTTAATGAAATTTTAAACATAATGATATTATTTCAATGGAATTAAATCAATATGGAATGTTGTATCAATTGAAATATTAAATTGATATGAAATACATGGAAAATTCAAAGAAATTGAAAAAATCCTAAAGGAATTTTGTAATAATTGAAATGTAAAAGTTCAAACAAAATAATGGAAAATTTGTACTAAATATTGAGGAAATTGAAAGTGAAATTATGTGGAGATATTATTAACCACAAAAATATTTTTTATGTAATTTAAGTCATAAGAAAGTTTCTTCAAAAAAAGTTTCAATGTAAAATAAATGTATGAATTTCTACGTAATTTCGAAGAAGTCGAAAGTGAAATAAATAACAATTATTGATGAATCATAAAATGTATTTGTATTACGTTTTATCAACTGATGAAAGAATGAAGAAGTTACCTTGAACTGCCTGCTCTAAAGCTTTCCGTCTCTGTAAAAGAAGTGCATGGAAATCCGGTTGATACTCGACCAAAGCCCTTGCCAATCTTCCGACTTTCGTCTTCAGCGTGGGATCCTCGTGACACGCGAACAGTTTGACGAGCTGCCAGATCACCGGTTCCGCATTCAAGTTAGTCCTCTGGTGACCGGAAGACACCAATCTGAAATCAATTATAAACCATTTTTTGTTTTGTTATCCTCTTACATTTCAACACCATTGTTTTTAGTTACAGTTACGAGCATTTACGCACTTCTTTGAATCCTACCACTAACAACCACCACTCTTCTGTGGGAATGGAAGAATTATGGTGCGAAGATTCCCACAATTATGGAGCTTCCGAACAAGTTTACACACTATTTATTTTCCCATTTTCCAAATTAAAGAGGAAAAAACAAACAAACAATGTGTGTTAGTTTATTTTTTCTTTTGTGATTTCACGTTTTGACGAAACGTCGATACTTGCTCCAATTTTCTCTCGGAAAGGAGAAAAAACAACAACAATTGAGGAACAATTCTCGTGACTCTCGTTTGTTTGTAAATCGCTGCATTACACTTTCAAATGCCGTTTGCGTTCGGATGTATTCACCGTAGTTTATGAATGGGCGCTGGTCGTAAAGCATTTTACGATTGGTTCATTTATCTTCGTTTAACTTCATATATTCTCGTTTTCATTCAGCCAATTCACTGCAAAACATCTTTATTGTCAGCAATCCAATGAAATTACACGCTTATACATTTGAGTATTCATTTTCACTACAAAATATGAGAGAAATATGCTTAAATCAAACGTCACATTAATTGAAAACTAAGTTAATTCATGATTTTCATTAAGAAAAATAACAGAATTAGGTTAGGTTACGTTTAATTCATTTTTGTTTTTGTACATAATCTTAATGTATTTTTTGGATATATTTTCTTGGCTAATGTAAGATTAGTTTATTTTTTAGGTTAGATCAGGTTATGTAATATTAGGTTAGGTTATGGTAACATTAAGTTAGATTATATAAGTATTATATCTATTAGATTAGGTTACGTTATGACAGACATATTGTTGACAAGTTATAACTTTGACATTAGAAAAAAAACAAATATTCTTAGGTTAGGTCAGATTAGGTTAAGTTAAGACATGCACATTATTGATGTGTCATATTAGGTTATGGCAACATTAAGTTAGATTATATAAGTTTTATATCTATTGGAATAGGTTATGACAGCCATATTGTTGATAAATTATAACTTTGACATTAAAAAAGAAAAAATCATAGGTTAGGACAGAGTAAATTAAGTTGTGACATGAATATTATTGATGCATTCTAACTTAATTATTTTTTAATTTATACAAAAAAATCCTTAAAATATACAAATTATTGCTTATCATTAAAAAAATAACTTTTTCTGAATAATTAATGAAACAAACATGTGTAACTTTTGACTCATGAAAACTGAATTAAATTCACATGAAACTTGAAGTAAATTAGTCTGATTAAGCTGTAAGTCAATTAGTGTTCAATCTTTGAAAATGTTTTAGAAGATTCGTTATAAAACGAGCGATCTAATTGGACAAGATTTAATTGGATCCAATTAATTTGCGTTGCGGTCGAAACTTATTTACGATATAATTAAGGATCGCACTAAATCTTTACCAGTTTTTTTCTTCATTGATTTGCTCTATAATTATATCACGCAATTTAATATCAACACTTTACTAATAAATCAATGGTATTTTTCTTTGTTTATTCTTTGTCACTATTTCATTATTATTACAAACTACATTTTTCAGGCATTAACAATTTTTTTTTCAAATTTTGACAGCTTATTTACGCCAAAACGGTAACTGTCACAAATCTGACAGCATATTTAAAACGAAGCTATCCAGAAATATGACTAATTATAATTTTACATTTTTTGAAGCATTAACAAAAGTTTTCTCAAATTTTGACAGCTGTCACAAATCTAACAGGACATTGAAATTAAAGCTAATTTTAATTAGTGTATTAACAATTTAAATGGACATGCTTGCTTCTTGAGTAATATGAGAATATTTCAAGACATTACAGATTACTTTTGAATCTACTTCAAATTTTACTTGGCAAGTGTCAAGTAATGATTATTATTTATTGTTTATGCATGATGGTCTACACTTATGAAAATAGTTGAAATGTTACTTGGAAAGTACTCAGTACTGGTTGAGAAGAAACTTCAAACAACCTGTTTCAAATGTGACTTGAAAAGTAATAATTGTATTTATCGAAGATGGATAACAGTATACTTTTTTACGTCTTTCGTAAAAGTACGTAAATGACAATACGTGACATGTGTCAAATGCTAATTGATGGAGGATGGATGAGATTTATGATAAACTACACGTCTCTGGTAAAGATACGTAAATCGTCAAGTAACGATTGTATCTATGGTTACAATTATGACGTTTCTTGTGAAATATTTGAAATGACAATACTTGACATATGTCAAATAGTAATTGATGGAGACTGTAGGATATATATGATGAACTACGCGTCTCTCGTAAAGATACGTACTGATTTTATCTATGATTGGATACAATTATGACTTTTCTTGTCAAATATTTAAAATGACAATACTTGACATGTGTCAAATAGTAATTGATAGAGGCGTCTCTCGTAAAGATACGTAATGATTTTATCTATGATTGGTTACAATTATGACGTTTCTTGTCAAATATTTGAAATGACAATACTTGACATGTGTCAAATAGTAATTGATGCATAATAATATACATTTTTGATGAACTAAACGTCACTCGCAAAAATACGTTAATGTTACTTCGAAAGTATCAAGTAATGATTGTATCTATGACTGGTTACAATTATGACGTTTCTTGTTAAATATTTGAAATGACAATACTTGACATGTGTCAAATAGTAATTGATGGACGTTGCACGACATTTATGATAAACTACACGTCTCTTGTAAATGTTACTTCGAAAGTATCAAGTAATGATTGTAACTATGGATACAATTATGACGTTTGGTGTCAAGTATGTGAAATGACAATACTTGACATGTGTAGGATGTAGGACTACATACTTTGTAAGTAGGGTTTCCAGAAGCTGTGCAGAATGTGGTAGTCCATCAACGAGTAGATCCAAGGGAAGTTCACTGGCGACGGCTGCAATCCCGGCACCTCCGAGCTTCGAAAGAACCGCTGCCGCCTCCCGGTATTGCCGTCCCTCCGATAGCACCAGAACCCTTCGAAGGACGAGCCTCGGGCTGAGGGCGCGCTCACGCCGGATGCGCTCTCCGCACTCCCGCATCTTAACGCACCGAAAGACAAACTAAACTAAGAGTAAACCTCTTCAGATGATCACGAACGAACGACGACCACAAACACACCAACTCCAACGCCGAGCCGGACGACGACACACTGACACACTTTTCATCATCCCAGTACCAGAGATACAGACAGAGACAGAGAAAACGTGAAAGAAACCCGGCAAAAACAATGATCAAACAGATCTTTGCACAAATTAAACAAAATAACAATTAACAAATTAATCGAAATCATAATTGTATCAACACCCAACTTGATCCAATATTAATACAATTCTGATGCTCTTGAATTTTTTGAAATATTTTTTTTCTTTCTTATTTTGCGCGTCTCCTCGAAGTGGTCCATCGGTCGCCTCCGGCAAATCTCTTCTCGTTCGATACGAACTTTTCATTCATCTCTGGACGCCCCGGGTGGTAACCAATCTTTTTTTTTTAAGGTTGGGCCCTCAAATTTCGACTCTTCAAAATTCATCCTCAATGCATAAAGTGAACAAACGAAACAAAAAAAATAAACGCTTTCCACTTTGATTAAACTCATTTCCTTAATGAGTTTTATTTCTAATCTCATAAATAAAAAATATAATAATTTCTCAATTTGCAAACATTTTCTTGTATGATTATGATATCTTAATTGGACTTATGTTAATTAAATATGAAAAATCAATTTAATTTAAGTTTCTTTTGTGGTTAAGCTATCATTTCATGTATTTGAGATTGTAATGAATTGTAAATAAGTAATATTAGCTTTGTGGTTGACGCTGCAGGAAAAGCAGCGATTGATGAATAATTACTTTTGTAGGAGAAAGTAAGTTAGCTGTAAACTAAAAATCACTAACACTTAATTAAGTAAAACAAGAAAAAAAAAACAGATTATCATTAGAATATAATAAACACTAATTCTGTAAACTTACAGATAAAACTAGGGCCTTTCCAATAAGCCTACTGACAATTTCGTGGTTGGCGACGTTCGTTTGTTATAAGCTGTCAAAGTTGAGCAATTCAATATGAACATGAGTAAAAAGTGTCTTCACGTTTTATTTAATTACTCAACAACCACTAATGATAATTAGATGATTCAATATGCGAATTAAAGATTTTTTTTGTAGTCTTTTTGATTAATCAACTGTCAGATATGTAATATTAACAGTTACCGTGTAATAAGCTTTCAAATTTGAAAATACGATGAATTTGCGTTTTATTACATTACCATTATCATTAGATTACAATAAACACAAATCATGTAAACTGATAGATAAAACTATGATATTTCCGTTAAACTTACTGTTAAATTTGTGGATTGCAACGTTCCTTTCTTATAATCTGTCAAAATTGAGGATTTCAATATGAACTTGAAGAAAAAGTGTCTTCACGTTTTATTTAATTACTCAACAACCACTAATGATAATTAGATGATTCAACATGCAAATTAAAGATTGTTTTGTAGTATTTTTGATTAATCTACTGTCAGATATGTGATATTAACAGTTACTATGTAATAAGCTTTCAAATTTGAAAATGCGATGAATTTGCGTTTTATTAAATTATCATTATCAATAAATTACTATAAACACAAATCATGTAAACTCACAGATAAAACTATGGTATTTCCATTAAACTTACTGTTAAATTTTAAATTATTTTAAATTATTTAATTACTCAATAATCACTCACGATAATTAAATGATTGAACGTGCAAATTAAAATCAAATCTATAGCCTTTCGAATGAATTTATCGTTAAATCTGTTATATTCATTTTAATCATGTAATAAGCAATCAAATTTGAAAATGCGCTGTCTTCACGTTTTATTAAATTACTCAACAACCACAAATGGTAATTAAATCATCTAATATGAATATTAAAGACAAAACTATAATCCTTTAAATAATATGAAAATACTTAAAGTAAACAATTATTTTATAATAATTTTTTTTGATAAATTATTGATGATTTTGTCAAATTTTTATTATTATATTCATATTTAAAATGTATTTTTCGGTTTTTTCTTACATTATTTCGAAAACTGTTTAACTTTTTAAATATTTTATGAATACAGAAAAAAAGTCTTCTATTGCTGAATACGTCTACTTTGATAAATATGTAATGTTGATTAATGATTGAAAGATGATAATTGTTTTTGGAAAAAATATCTTCACTGTTTATTTAATTACTCAATAACTACAATACTTTGTCAGATCATTGAACCTATATATTAAAGTAAAAACTATGATCTTTTCAATAAGCCTATTGAGAGAATTATGGATTTCGTAGTTCGTCTATTATAAGCTGTTAAAATGAAGTTGTTGAAACACATCGAAAAATCGCAATATCTCAATCGTTAATTAACTTTATATTACAGGAATTATATCAAAAGATACGTAATTTTGGTAATATTTATTTTTATTATTGAAAAAGATAATTTAATTAATATTTTTGATAAATAATTAGAAAATATTTTGCAAATTTTCCAATATACGAAATTTAAGGATTATATTGATTTTATTTGACTCCGTTTTTGGAACTGGCATTCTTTTTAATCTCTAATTGGTACCCAAGGCAAAGAACGAGAAAGCATAAATTAGTTGAAAAGGGAAAGGCGAAGGAATTTTTTCCATACAGAATCTATAACGATTTCGATCGTTAATCTTCGAAACACAAATAAATTTCATCCAAAAACAACTACTTTGAACTACTTCTTTTGCGACCATCACAATCTCTCGTTTCAAAATTTTTGGTTTCATTTTTCACTTCAAATAAAACTCTTCATTTCCACAAAGCGATTTATCAAATATTCAACAATTTGTATTAAAAAAAATAGGTTTTGAAAATAGATTTAATATTGTAACATGACTTGCATTGTTTTATAATTATTAAATATTTTGATTGGAATGTTTATCTTTCAACTCTTCTGTACATTTTAGTTCACTATTATTTGACGATCAGATAAAGTTTTCTTTCTTTGGAATACTTCTGAATTGGAGAACGAAATTGATGGTTTACAGTCACGATTTTCTTAAATTACTGTATTATTATTACAATCTCACGAGTTCAGTTCAAATCTTGAAACTTGATGAAACTTTTGCTTCTTCTGCTTAATCATATTTTTTTAGTATTGAGTTGATACTGTTGTCAAAATCATTCCAATTCTGTAAGTTCTTTGTTAATTTTATATAAGTTTTTTGTTGAATTTTAAATACAAATACGTAAAGAAATAACTAAATTCATATTAGTAGAAATGATAAAGAAAATTGATCAATGAAAATCTATGAAAAACAAACATTGTTTATGTGTTTTAATGACAATGTGAAGATACTAAAAGTAATTTCTATTGCGCCGAAAATGGTGCGTTTGTACGAGAAATTCTTGTTTGAAGAAAAAGAAAGACCCATCAAAGGAATCGCGAGAGTCGCGAGAGATGGTCAATAGGAAATGAGGTTTCGGTTTCGACTTTTACTATCGACACCATGCGAACAGGTTTTCTATTGCAGAAAAATCGTCAACGCGTTCTCGAAATCTCCTTTATCCAACAAATATATTGTATACAATTGTAACGAGATTAGACTGAAAAAAAATTATTGCATTTTCAAATTTTAACAGCTTCTAACAAAATAAGGGTAAATACTACAACTATAGCAGTAGGCTCATTTGAAAGTCTAAAGTTTCTTCTTTAATTTACATCTTAATCATTTAATTAGCTTCTGTAGTTATCGAGGAATTAAATAAAATGTTATGATACTTCATTTTTGAATTTGACAGCATATTACAAATTAATGGTAAGCAAATGTAGGCTTATTTGAAAGGCTAGAGTTTCTTATTTAATATTTTTTTTTATAATCTAGCTTATGTGGTCATTGAGTAATTTAATAAAATATTGAGACATTGTTTTTTTTTTCCAAGTTTAAATTTTATTGAAATTTTGTTATAGATCATTACAAGAAATTGATAAATGTCACAAATATGGTAATAAGCTTATTTTAAAGAAAGAGTTTCTTTTTTAATCTACATATTTAATAATTTAATTAGCCTACATAGTTATCGAGTAATTTAATAAATCGTAAAGACACCATTTTTTTTAGGCTTAAATTTTTTTTGCTAAATTTTAACAGATAACTACAAGAAATTGGCGTGCTACAAATATGGTAATTTTCTCATTTAAAAGACCAGGGTTTCTTCTTTAATTTAGATATTTAACAATCTAATTAGCTTACGTGGTTATTGAGTAATTAACTAAAACGTATAGACACCATTTTTTCAAGCTTCATTTTTTTTTGCTAAATTTTGACAGATTATTACAAGCATTTGTTAATTGTCACAAATATTATAGTAGGCTCATTTGAAAGACCAGAGTTTCTCTTTAATTAGCATATTTAATAATATAATTAACATACGTGATTATTAATTAATTAAATAAAACGTAAAGACATTTTTTTTAATTAGTTTTCCATTTTATCTACTGTGCAAATTGTGAAATAACACTGTATGAAAATTATGTTGTTAAGTAAACAATGATGGACCAGATGCGTTTCGAGTAAAAGTAAAATTTGTTTGCTCTCACTTGAATCTAACCCATTTTGGTCGTCGTAAAACGTTTGCCCAAATTCGACAAAAGGCATTAATGAGCGAAAGGTGTAATGATCTGCACATCTGCACTTTTATTACTTGAGCTTTACGAAAGTGTACAAAATGAAAAAGAAATTTAAATTTCTTTTAATTGTGTTTTTGAAAGAGTAAAACCTTTTAATTGTGTTCACATTATTTCATATTACTACTTGATACTTGCCAAGTATATTAAGAATTTCGTGTGTTTGTCTACTTTTACAAATACTTGTGTAATTTACAAAATACAATAAGCAAATTTGTAATTAATATTAGTAAATATAATTAGCTCCAATATAATAAAAAAAATATGTAAGAAAGTGGAATTTTGTTCATTTCTCTTTACCAATTTTTATTTGTAAATTATAAAAATTTCTTTTCTTTATTCAAACGATGTTTAATGAGTGAAAGGTGCAAAGATGCACACCTGTACTTTTATTGCTTCGAGTCTGAAGAGAGTATACAAAATATTACAAAAATGCGTAATTTAAATTTTAAATTAACAATAAAAAAATTTGTAAAGAAAATCAATGATATTTCTTCTAGGAAAATTACAATTTTACAAATTTTAAGAAAACATCCTTCGGTTTGATCAGAAACATTATGCTGTCAATTTCGATACGTTTCGGTGTACTTTCAGTGGGTAAAATCTGGAAATTCGTTAGGATTTGGGCGATGCAAATTTTGGCAGTCAACAAACCGAATTTTTTTCCTACAACAAGAAAAAAACATTTTCATTATGAAATTTCAAGTGTGAAATTAAAAAGAAAATGTGATTAATTTAAAATTTACCTATGCAATTATGAGGTCCATGACCAAAAGGCATGTAAACGTAGGGAGGACGAGTTTTTACGTTTTCAGGTGAGAATCTTTCAGGATCGAAAATGTCTGGATTTGGAAAGAATTCAGGATCATGATGTAATCCGATAGGAGAAAATTGGCATTTTGTGCCTTTTTCAATAATAATTTTGGTTCCTGGGATTTGGTAATCCTTCACGCACTTTCTTTCTATGAGTGGAAGTGTCGGATATTTCCTCAAAGATTCTATAAAAAGAAGTTAAAAAATTACGTTTTTAGAAGAAATTAGTGAATAAAATTACCTGATATGACTTTATTCAAGTAACTGAGATCTATGATATTCTCGTAACTAAAGTTACCATCTTCTTCAACAGCTAAGCTATCGAAGATTTCATGCCTTAATTTTTGTTGGATATCTTCGTTCATGGCTAATTCGTAGAGGGTGAATGAAATCAAAGAGCTTGTAGTTTCGTAGCCAGCTAAGAAGAATTGTATGGCTAGACCCGAAAGGCTATCTTCATCTACAAATTTTGTAATTTAAAGATATCGCAAAGAAATAGATCATAAATTACGTACCTAAAGTAAATCCATCTCCCAAATCTCCTTCCTTATTCAATTGGACATAACAATCAATTAAATCGTTATTATTCACACCAGATTCTTCGCGCAAATTCACCGACTTCCAAAAGTGACGCCTGTAAAAGTCCAAATCTCTCTTCTTGAACATATTGACTTTAAAGAAAGTCGCAATTTCAGGCATGACGAAAACACCAACAAATCTAATGAAATTCGCTACAGTGGGTTCCAAAAGTTTATGCGAATAAACGAAAAACTCATTATCAACATCTTTGAAGCAATTTATTTTATAGCCGAAAATCCATCCGGCGAAAACGTTCGCCGTTAAACGACTGGAAATCAGCTTGCAATCCACAGCATCTCCAGAAACTTCATCCAAATATTCGACCATTTCGTTAGAAGATTGATTGAAGATGTGCATGACATTCTTCAACTTCGAAGTTGTGAATGAAGGTGAGAGTTTTGAACGCAGAATCTTCCAGTCGTGGAAATCCAAACAGAATAGAGCTTTCTCGACGAAGGGGTCGATTTTGATGGAGGATGAAACGCGATCGCTGAAGTGGTCAAAATCTCTGACGAATATATTTTTGATCAGTTCAGGGCTTCTAATCAGCAAGAACGGTATGTTGAAGATCCAATAGCCGACGATGGATTCTTTGGAGGAATTGTAGATTTGTGCCATTAAATCCGCGTAAGATTTCTTGAAGGTAACCAAAGGGAAGATGTTTCCAAATGGGAAACTTGGCTCCAAATAACTGATTCCTCTTTTCTTCCAATAATCGAAATTTTGGGTGATGTATAAGTATAGTAATACTAGCACGAATCCAAGAAATATAATGAAGAACATCTTTTCACTTATTGTTTTTTTGTTGTATTTAAGAAGACTTTTATTGAATTGACTTTGAATTATTACTGAACATTGTTGCAACAATTCTTTTAATTTATATATAGCTTATTTATCGCTATGCAATAGCTGCGTATTAAGGGGCAATGATATCTAATCACTTGTAGACAAGAGTTTGTTTATTACTAATTTATATTTTCGTTAATATGAATATTTAATGAAATTAGTATTAGTAATAACAACAAGATTTATTCATTATTTAACTAATTTTATTTCATTTCCTTTCCAATTAATATTAATAAATACATACAAGCAATTAAAGAAAAATGACCAGGATTGCCACACATTTCACTAAAACCATGGAAATTATCGCACATCTCTGGTAACTCGTGAAAAATTATTGGAGCTTGGTTAATTGGTTAAGATTGGCTAAGACTTTACTTAATTTTGATGATAGAATCGCTCTTGAATCAGTATTATGCTGATAAAAACTAGATTATAAGTTACATTTTGAATTATACTTTTTTTTACTCATCGTAAAACGTTTTCCCAAATTCGAAGAAAGGCGTTAATTAAAGAAAGGTGTAAAGATGTGCATCTGCACTTTTATTACTTGAATTTTATAAAAGAGTCGTAAATGAAACAGAAATTTGTATTATTTTATTTGAGACAGTAAAAACTTTTTATTGTGTTCCCATTACTTCATATTTTCACCAGATACAAAAACATCAAAAAAAATATTGATTTTGAAAGAAACCTTCTAGGATAATTACAATTTTACAAATTTTAAGAAAACATCCTTAGGTTTAAACAGAAACATTTTGTTGTCAATTTCAATACGTTTCGGTGTGCATTCAGTGGGTAAAATCTGGAAATTCGTTAGGATTTGGACGATGCTATTTTTTGCGATCAACAAACCAAATAGTTTTCCTATAAAAAAAAACAAAAAATTAATAAAAACCAATTTCACAATAATTACAGTTTCACTACATTTTCTTTCAATTTTCTAATGTAAAGCAATTATGAGCCAATTTTGATAAAATTAAAATTATTTTTTTTTACAACATTTTACATTATCAATTTTTTTGCTAAGATAATTGAATATTCACTAAATTTTCGTTGTGAAATTGAAGAAAAAATGAAATAAAATGTGATCATTGTAAACTTTACCTATGCAATTATGAGGCCCATGTCCAAAAGGCATGTAAACGTAGGAAGGACGAGTTTTTACGTTTTCAGTTGAAAATCTTTCAGGATCGAAAATGTCCGGATTTGGAAAGAATTCAGGATCATAATGTAATCCGAGAGGGGAAAATTGGCATCTGGTGCCTTCTTCAATAATAATTTTGGTTCCTGGTATTTGATAATCCTTTACGCATTGTCTGTCTATGAGAGGAAGTGTCGGATATTTCCTCAAAGATTCTAGAAAAAGAAGTTCAAAAATTACGTTTTTAGAAGAAATTAAGTAATTAAATTACCTGATATGACTTTATTCAAGTAGCTTAGTTCCATGATATTCTCGTAACTAAATTTACCATCTTCTTCAGCAGCTAAACCATCGACGATTTCGTGCCGTAAGTTTTCTTGGATATCTTCATTCATGGCTAATTCGTAGAGAGCGAATGAAATCAAAGAGCTTGTAGTTTCGTAACCAGATAAGAAGAATTGTATGGCTTGAGCCGAGAGGCTGTCTTCATCTACAATTTTTTTATTTAAAAAATATCGCAAAGAAAATAGATAATAAATTACATACCAAAAGTAAAACCATCGCCTAAATCTCCTTCATTCTTCAATTGGACGTAACAATCAATTAAATCGTTATTCTTCAAACCAGACTCTTCACGTGCATTCACAGCCTTCCAAAAATGATGTCTGTAAAAGTCCAAATCGCCCTTCCTGAACAAATTGATTTTAAGGAAAGTCGCAATTTCAGGCATAACGAAAAAGCCAGCAAGTCTAACGAAATTTGCTAACGTCGGTGCCAAAAGTTGCTGCGAATAAACGAAAAACTCGTTATCAACATCTTTGAAGCAATTTATTTTATAACCAAAAACGCTTCCTGCGAAAACGTTCGCCGTTAATTGACTGGAAATCAGTTTGCAATCCACAGATTCTCCGGAAACTTCATCCAAATATTCGATCATTTCGTTAGAAGATTGATTGAAGATGTGCATGACGTTCTTCAACTTCGAAGTTGTGAATGAAGGTGAGAGTTTTGATCGCAGAATCTTCCAGTCGTGGTAATTCAAAGAAAATAGAGTTTTTTTGATGAAGGGGTCTATATTGATAACGGATGAAACGCGTTCGTTGAAGTGATGAAAATCTCTGACAAATATATTTTTGATCAATTCAGGGCTTCTGATCATCAAAAATGGGATGTTGAAGATCCAATAGCCGACGACGGGTTCATTGGAGGAATTGTAGAATTGAGCCATTAAATCCGTGTAAGATTTTTTGAAGATGACCAATGGAAAGATGTTTCCAAATGGGAAACATGGCTCCAAATAACTGATTCCTCTTTTCTTCCAATAATCGAAATTTTGGGTGATGTATAAGTATATTAACACTAACACGAATCCAAGAATTATTATGAAGAACATCTCCTCACTTATTTTATTTTTCTTACGAAGACTTTTATTGAATTGAGTTTCAAATATTACTGAACATTGTTGTATAAAACATTTCAATTTATATATAATTATCGTTATGCAAATATGACTGCTCATTAAAAAGCAATGATATCTAATCAATTGATGACAAGAATTTTTATTACTAACATATATTGTCTATGTGCACATTCAATGAAATTAATAAAAGTAATAAGAAATTTCTTAAATTTTGATAATATAATCGGTTTTATGCTGATAAGGACTAAATTAGTAATTACATTTTGAATTATACTTTTTTTTACTAATCCTAAAACGTTTGCCCAAATTTGATAAAAAGCGTTAATTAAAGAAATGTGTAAACATTTGCATCCGCAGATTTATTACTTGCAATTTGTACATTTCTTTTTAAACAAATATATTTTTAATTTGTAAGCTATAAAACTTGCTTTGTCCGAAGAAAGTATACAAAAAAAGTAAAAAAATATATTTATTTTGAATTTTGAAAATAACCTATTAGGATAATTACAATTTTACAAATTTTAAGAAGACATCCTTAGGTTTGATCAGAAACAATTTGCTGTCAATTTCGATACGTTTCGGTGTGCTTTCGGTGGGTAAAATCTGGAAGTTCTTTAGGATTTGAGCGATGCAAATTTTTGCGGTCAACAAACCAAATCTTTGTCCTACAACAAAACAATAATAAAAAAAAAACAAATTCACGATAATTTCAAATACATTTTTAGCTCAATTTCAAACAAATTTAAACGTTCTTAATGTGAGTCAATTAATATTGTTATTGTTATTTTTCAATATTCACTAAATTTTCATTGATAAATTTAGAAAATAACATGTAGTCAATTATGATTATTGTAAAATTTACCTATGCAATTGTGAGGTCCATGTCCAAAAGGCATGTAAACGCAGGAAGGACGAGTTTTTACGTTTTCAGGTGAGAATCTTTCAGGATCGAAAATGTCCGGATTTGGAAAGAATTCAGGATCATAATGTAATCCGATAGGAGAAAATTGGCATTTTGTGCCTTTTTCAATAATAATTTTGGTTCCTGGGATTTGGTAATCCTTTACGCACTTTCTGTCTATGAGAGGAAGTGACGGATATTTCCTCATAGATTCTAAAAATGAAGTTAGAAAATTACGTTTTTAGGAGAAATTAAGTAATTATATTACCTGATATGACTTTATTCAAGTAGCTTAGTTCCATGATATTCTCGTAACTAAATTTACCATCTTCTTCAACAGCTAAACCATCGACGATTTCGTGCCTTAAGTTTTGTTGGATATCTTCGTTCAAGGCTAATTCGTAGAGAGTGAATGAGATCAAAGAGCTTGTAGTTTCGTAGCCAGCTATGAAGAATTGTATGGCTTGAGCCGCTAGGCTATCATCATCTACATTTTTTTAATTTAAAGGTATCTCAAAGAAATAGATCATACACTACATACCCATAATAAAACCATCGCCCAAATCTCCTTCCTTCTTCAATTGGACGTAACAATCAATGAAATCGTTATTCTTCATACCAGATTCTTCCCGCGCCTTCAGAACCTTAAAAAAGTGATGCCTGTAAAATTCAATATCGCTCTTTTTGAACAAAGTGATTTTAAAGAAAGCCGCAATTTCAGGTACAACGAAAAAACCAACAAGTCTAACCAAATTTGTTACAGTCGGTGCCAAAAGTTTCTGTGAATAAACGAAAAAATCATTATCAACATCTTTGAAGCAATTTATGTTATAACCGAAACCGCATCCAGCGAAAACGTTCGCCGTTAATCGACTGGCAATCTGCTTGCAATCCACTGCATCTCCAGAAACTTCATACAAATATTCGATCATTTCGTTAGAAGCTTTATTGAAGATGTGCATGAAGTGTTTCAACTTCAACGTTGTGAATGATGGTGAGAGTCTCGTCCGTAGATTCTTCCAGTCGTGAAATTCCAAAGAAAATATAGTATTGTTGAAGAACGGGTCGATTTTAATGGAGGATGAAAGGCGCTCGTTGAAGTGATCAAAATCTTTGACCAATATGTTTTTGATAAGTTCAGGGCTTCTGATCATCAAAAACGGAATGTTGAAGATCCAAAAGCCGACGATGGATTCTTTGGAGGAATTGTAGATTTGCGCCATTAAATCTGCGTACGATTTCTTGAAGCTAACCAAAGGGAAGATGTTTCCAAATGGAAAACTTGGCTCAAGATAAGGGATTCCTCTTTTCTTCCAATAATCGAAATTTTGGGTGATGTATAAGTATAGTAACACTAGCACGAATCCAAGAAATATAATGAAGAACATCTTTTCACTTATTGTTTTTTCTTAAGAAGACTTTTATTGAATTGAGTTTGAAATATAACTGATCAGTATTGCATACAAAATTTCAATTTATATACGATTTAATTATCTATGCGAGAATATGGCAAGTGCATTAAAAAGCAATGATTCGAGTGAACTATAAAAATGTGTAATCTATTATAAACAAGAGTTTGTTTATTACGAATATATTATTTTCAGTTATGCACATTCAAATTCAATTAAACTACATTCGTTCTTTACTAAATTAATTTTATTTAATTTCCTTTCTAATTAACCCATTAATATTAATAAATACACACATATCTTAGGTACTATTTGGAAAATTATAGGAGCTTGGATGAGAAGTGAGGTCGCATTACGCATAAAGCCCTGACCTTTTACCATGATAAAACTTTGATTATCTTTGATGACCTGACATAGCGGTTGGTTCAGTTTAATGCTGATAAGGACCAAAAAGATCGCAAAAGATCAAAATAATATTATAATATTTTGCAAATTTTATAAGTAAATTGGGTAGAAAGACCTATGGTCAATAGCCATTTGAAGCACTTGACTTTTTTTTCTTTATGATATTTATATTATTGTATTGAGTTTGTTTATTTTTTACTTTTCTGTTTCAATAAATATTACTATTTTATAAATAAAGAAGTATTAGTGACTCGTCTGTCTTCGTTGCACAATGACTATAGTTTTTCAAATTTTAAGAAAACATCCTTAGGTTTGATCAAAAACAGTTTGCTGTCAATTTCGATACGTTTCGGTGTAGTTTCAGTGGGTAAAATCCGGAATTTCGTAAGGATATGGGCGATGCAAATTTTTGCGATCAACAAACCAAATCTTTGTCCTACAGAAAAAAACATATAATAAACGATGTAATAAAATGTGATTATTGTAAAATTTACCTATGCAATTATGAGGTCCATGTCCAAAAGGCATATAAACGTAGGCAGGACGAGTTTTTACGTTTTCAGGTGAGAATCTTTCAGGATCGAAAATGTCCGGATTTGGAAAGAATTCAGGATCATGATGTAATCCAAGAGGCGAAAATTGGCATCTGGTGCCTTTTTCAATAATAATTTTGGTTCCTGGGATTTTGTAATCCTTTACGCACTTTCTGTCTATGAGAGAACGAGTCGGATGTTTCCTCATTGATTCTAAAAATGACGTTAGAAAATTAGGTTTTTTGGAGAAATTTAATAATTAAATTACCTGATATGACTTTGTTCAAGTAGCTTAGATCCGTGATATTCTCGTAACTAAAGTTACCATCTTCTTCAGCAGCTAAACCATCGACAATTTCGTGCCTTAAGTTTTGTTGGATATTTTCGTTCATGGCTAATTCGTAGAGAGTGAATGCAATCAAAGAGCTTGGAGTTTCAAAGCCAGTTATGTAGAATTGTATGGCTTGAGCTGAAAGGCTATCTTCATCTACAATTTTGTTTAATTTAAATATACTGAAAAAAAATACAGCATAAATTACATACCTATAGTAAAACCATCGCCCAAATCTCCTTCCTTCTTCAATTGGACGAAACAATCAATTAAATCGTTATTTTTCAGACCTGACTCCTCATGTGCTTTCAAAACCTTAAAAAAGTGATGATTGTAAAAGTCCAAATCGCTCTTGTTGAACATATTGATTTTAAAGAAAGCCGCAATTTCAGGTACAACGAAAAAACCCGCAAGTCTAACGAAATTCTCTACCGTCGGTGCCAAAACTTTCTGCGAATAAACGAAAAAATCGTTATCAACATCTTTGAAGCAATTTATATTATAACCGAAACTGCATCTAGCGAAAACGTTCGCCGTTAATCGACTGGAAATCTGCTTGCAATCCACTGCATCTCCAGAAACTTCATCCAAATATTCGATCATTTCGTTAGAAGCTTTATTGAAGATGTGCATGCCGTTTTTCAACTTCGAAGTTGTGAATAATGGTGAGAGTCTCGTCCGCAGAATCTTCCAGTAGTGGAAATTCGAAGATAATAATGTATTGCTGAAGTCATGTCTTTTGGAGGATGAAAAGCGATCGCTGAAGTGATCAAAATCTTTGACCAATATGTTTTTAATCAGTTCAGGGCTTCTGATCATCAAGAACGGGATGTTGAAGATCCAAAAGCCGACGATGGATTCTTTGGAGGAATTGTAGATTTGCGCCATTAAATCCGCGTAAGATTTCTTGAAGATAATCAAAGGGAAGATGTTTCCAAATGGGAAACTTGGCTCCAAATAAGTGATTCCTCTTTTCTTCCAATAATCGAAATTTTGGGTGATGTATAAGTATATTAACACCAACACAAATCCAAGAATTATTATGAAGAACATCTTCTCACTTATTGATTTTTTTTCTTACAAAGACTTGTAATGAATTGAGTTTCAAATATTACTGAATATTGTTGTATAAAACATTTTAATTTATATATAATTATTGTTATGCAAATATGACTGCTCATTAAAAAGCAATGATATGTAATCAATTGAAGACAAGAGTTTTTATTACTAATATATATTTTTGTTGATGTGCACATTCAATGAAATCAATAAAAGTAGTAAGAAAGAAAATTCTTTGAATACAACAAGATTTATTAATTAATTTTAATTAATTGCTTTCCCAATTAATATTATTATAAATAAATACATAAAGCAATAAATGAAAAATGACCAAAATTGTTACACATTTCACCAAAACCATGCAAATCCTCGCACATCTTTGGTAACTCTTGAAACTGTATTGGGTGATGTATGCGTGATGTGACATCTCTTACGCATATAGCTCAGACTTTATTAATTTTGATGATAGAATCGCAATTGAATCAATTTTATGCTGATAAGGATTATATTACAAATTACATTTTGAATTATACGTTTTTTTACTCATTGTAAGGTGTAAACATGTGTACAAAAGTGTTCAAAATGAAACAGAAATTTGATTTTTTTTGTGAGACAGTAAAATGTTTTAATAATGTTCATATTACTTCATATTACAACCTGATGCTAGTGATGCTAAATTAATAATTTCGTGTTTTTCGTTATTTCCACAAATATTTGAATAATCTACGAAATGCTTCTAGGAATTCTACCAAAAAAATAGTTATATATTGGTAAATAATATGAACAACTTTTATATTAAATATTAAACAAATAATATAAGTAAACGTGTAATTAATTTCTCTTTAAACAAATATTTTTTATTTGTAAGTTATAAAACTAACTTTGTCTGAAGAAAGTATACAAAAACAGTACAAAAAATATTTATTTTGAAAGAAACCTGCTAGGATAATTACAATTTTACAAATTTTAAGAAGACATCCTTAGGTTTGATCAGAAACAATTTGCTGTCAATTTCGATACGTTTCGGTGTGCTTTCGGTGGGTAAAATCTGGAAGTTCGTTAGGATTTGAGCGATGCAAATTTTTGCGGTCAACAATCCAAATCTTTGTCCTACAACAAAACAATAATAAAAAAAAAACAAATTCACGATAATTTCAAATACATTTTTAGCTCAATTTCAAACAAATTTAAACGTTCTTAATGTGAGTCAATTAATATTGTTATTTTTCAATATTCACTAAATTTTCATTGATAAATTTAGAAAATAACATGTAGTCAATTATGATTATTGTAAAATTTACCTATGCAATTGTGAGGTCCATGTCCAAAAGGCATGTAAACGCAGGAAGGACGAGTTTTTACGTTTTCAGGTGAGAATCTTTCAGGATCGAAAATGTCCGGATTTGGAAAGAATTCAGGATCATGATGTAATCCGAGAGGGGAAAATTGGCATTGGTGCCTTTTTCAATAATAATTTTGGTTCCTGGGATTTGGTAATCCTTTACGCACTTTCTGTCTATGAGAGGAAGTGATCGGATATTTCCTCAAGATTCTAAAAATGAAGTTAGAAAATTACGTTTTTAGGAGAAATTAAGTAATTACATTACCTGATATGACTTTATTCAAGTAGCTTAGATCCATGACATTCTCGTAACTAAATTTACCATCTTCTTCAGCAGCTAAACCATCGACGATTTCGTGCCTTAAGTTTTGCTGGATATCTTCATTCAAGGCTAATTCGTAGAGAGTGAATGAGATCAAAGAGCTTGTAGTTTCGTAGCCAGCTATGAAGAATTGTATGGCTTGAGCCGCTAGGCCATCGTCATCTACATATTTTTTTAATTTAAAGGTATCTCAAAGAAATAGATCATAAATTACATACCTATAATAAAACCATCGCCCAAATCTCCTTCCTTCTTCAATTGTACGTAACAATCAATGAAATCGTTATTTTTTATATCAGACTCTTCGCGCGCCTTTAAAACTTTAAAAAAGTGATGCCTGTAAAATTCCATATCGCTCTTTTTGAACACATTGATTTTAAAGAAAGCCGTAATTTCAGGAACAACGAAATAACCAGCAAGTCTAACGAAATTCGCTACAGTCGGTGCCAAAAGTTTCTGCGAATAAACGAAAAAATCGTTATCAACATCTTTGAAGCAATTTATATTATAACCGAAACCGCATCCAGCGAAAACGTTCGCCGTTAATCGACTGGAAATCTGTTTGCAATCCACGGCATCACCAGAAACTTGATCCAAATATTCGATCATTTCGTTAGAAGCTTTATTGAAGATGTGCATGACGTGCTTCATCTTCAACGTTGTGAACGATGGTGAGAGTCTCGTCCGCAGAATCTTCCAGTCGCGGAATTCCAAAGTAAATAGAGTATTGTTGAAGAACGGGTCGATTTTAATGGAGGATGAAAGGCGTTCGCTGAAGTGATCAAAATCTTTGACCAATATATTTTTGATCAGTTCAGGGCTTCTGATCATCAAAAACGGAATGTTGAACATCCAATAGCCGACGATGGATTCTTTGGAGGAATTGTAAATTTGTGCCATTAAATCCGCATAAGATTTCTTGAAGGTAATCAAAGGGAAGATGTTTCCAAATGGGAAACTTGGCTCCAAATAACTGATTCCTCTTTTCTTCCAATAATCGAAATTTTGGGTGATGTATAAGTATAGTAACACTAGCACGAATCCAAGAAATATAATGAAGAACATCTTCTCACTTATTGTGTTTTATTAAGAAGACATTTAATGAATTGAGTTTGAAATATTACTGAATATTTTTGCATACCAAAGTTCAATTTATATATAATTTAGTTATCGTTATGAGAATATGACAGTCCATTAAAAGCAAAGATTAGAACTTTGAACATATATAATTGTAAACAAGAGTTTCTTAATTACAAATATTTTTATTTTGATATGCACATTTAATGAAATTGATAAAAGTAATAAGAAATAAAATTTATTGCAAACATTTTAAAACGCAATTTCCTTTCCAATTAATAGTAATAAATATACACAGACTACTATAGTTTTTCAGACTTTAAGTTAACATCCTTAGGTTTGATCAGAAATCGAATTTCGATACATTTTAGTGTATTTTCAGTAGGTATAATATGGAATTACGTTAAGATTTTGATGACGCAAATGGACGATTCACTTAACACACCGAATCAATTTTTGCAAAATCCATCTCAAATGCAATGAAATCGATACTGTTTTTTAAACAAATCATCATTAGTAATGAAAATTGGATCGTTTACAATAAAATCAATCGAAAACAATGAATTATATCATAAAAGATCATTCTATTAATTCAGAAGCAATCAAAGAAAAATTTCTTTAAAATCTGTAAAGTTGAATTAAATTTCACTAAATAAATAAATATTAAGAAAAAAAACTTTATAAGTATAAAATAAATCTTTTATAAGTATAAAATTTCAGTTGATTCTGATTGTTTTATTTTATACAAATAATTGAAAGAAATCTTTCACGAAAATTACAATTTAACAAATTTTAAGAAAACATCCTTAGGTTTGATCAGAAACATTTTGTTGTCAATTTCGATACGTTCCGGTGTGCTTTCAGTAGGTAAAATCTGGAAATTCCTTAGGATTTGGGCGATGCATATTTTCGCGGTCAACAAACCAAATCTTTTTCCTACAAAAAAAAAAGCATATATTAAAAACCAATTTCACAATAATTACAATTTTCACTAATTTTTCTTTCCATTTTCTATTGTGATTATTATAAAACAGTTATGAACCAGTTTTAATATAATCAAAATTCATTTTTTTACTACATTTTAGTTATGATATTTCAACTGTAATTATTTATTGTAAAACTGAAGAATAAACAATGTAATAAAATGTGATTATTGTAAACTTTACCTATGCAATTGTGAGGTCCATGTCCAAAGGGCATGTAAACGTAGGCAGGTCGAGTTTTTACGTTTTCAGGTGAGAATCTTTCA